GTCGGAGATTTTTGCCAGAATCGTAATTTTTTGAGGAGCCTGATATTTTTCATGCGACTCCAACACGCTGATTACAAGACATTCATCACCATTGAGTTTCATGTTCCCTTCACCACTCCACAAGTAATTTTAAACAGAATTTAAATTTAACATGGTTATCAACAGAATTCATTATTTTAAACATTTTAGCCTCGTCAGCATAAAGATATCAATCAAGAAAGCGGTCATCTGGCAGACTGTTGGCAACTTTCAATGAACGACCATTTCTATGGCCAGTTTTATTGATAAAAAAGCAATCACCCTATCAGTTGTCTGCTTACATTTTTTTAAATTAAATATTTGAATTAAGACGTTTGCGTTCCAATCTTTCTTCACTACAATCTTCGATATTTAGTAATTGAAATTTAGATTAGTGAGAATACTTACAATTTTGAAAAAATTAAGCAAAAAAAGATAAAAGATCTAAATTTGGTGCAGGAAGAGTAAAAGTTGTGATGAGTTAAATTTTCCTATTAATTAATTAATTAATTAATGTTTGTTCAAAGAAGTTAAGCTGGCGAAAATAATTTAAAATCATTTTCGTCAGTTGATGCCCAAACGACACGCTGATTTGTGGCAGCATCATTTTTCATACAACAATGTTGCCCGGTAGTTTTAAAAATAATGGACTTTTAAACATTTTGCAAAAAAATGTTGAATTTATAAGCATGTATATTAAAATATTTAGACATTATCACACATTTGTTTTGTTTCATTTCTCTACATCCTATAATATGCTTTTTCTCGCCAAAAGCAGAATTTCATATTTTTAAAATCAATTTTTATATATGCTGTTAATTCGCTAATATTTTTGATATTTCGTTTATTTGAGAACAAAAATGATTTTTTTTTATTTGCAATATACTCGACAAATCTCGAAATACCCGATGGTGGATGAATCAAAACTTCTAGCCAGCTAATTTTAATATTGGACCCCGGTGATTTGGTTTTAAATGAAACTGTCCTGCTAGGAAGTTTGATCTGATTGTGAAGAAATATAATTATAAAATATTTCTATAAAAAAACGTTTAGAAAAAACTTTTGTTTGAGAGGATGTTTTTGTGTTAATGACCGCGATGATTGAAAATGAAATTATAAAATAACTCTCACACTTCTAGTTCCATTCTTAATTTTTCTATTTAAACATTTAAAAGCTGTAAAATTTTCATATTTTTATTTGAAAATACTAAACACATGTTTTTATAGTTTGTTCAAATAACAAACATCATGGAGGTAAGGTCACAAACACTTAACTCGACTGAATCCGAGTTCAAAGTTCAACAAATATACGCTCATTTGTCTTTACGTTACAGATGCTAAAAGCATACATTTGCATTAAATTGTGAATGAAAACTAAGCAATCTAAAATAAATTAAAACATTTCAGCTGATATTTTCTGCTTACAAAAAAGTTTTTTGAATTTTTTAATACGAGGCTGAGCAAATTAAAACTAGAAGGTCGTTGTCACTCAAAAATTACGTCTATCATATGTGATATGTAAATTGGTTTCAAACGACCAAAAACATTTGCAGAAAGCAGTCCTACGGTTACGAACTCCTAACAATTAATGATTTTAATACTTTCTAATGTCCTGCATTAACAGGCGTGGATTATATTTTAGAATATTTGATCATAAAAATATTTAATGGTAGTAATATGAATAATTAAAATATAAATAATTTGAACGCAAATATTTTTTTAAAATTTGCAACTATTTTTCATTAAGTTTCAACGGATAATTAGAGTTGTAAATTTTAAAACACAATAAATCATGTGCATCATAATATTAGGAACATCCTGTGAGTTATGACATCAACAACATCCTGTGCGTCATAATATTAAGAACATCGCAACGATGAACACTCCCAACCACGAAAATTCCATTCGAAAAACTCGTCAGTCCGTCAAATTTTTATAATAAATAGAACAATAGTTTTCAACATTTAGATATATTTCAACTGTTATATTTATAGAGAAGTCGACGCTTGGATTGTTTACCATACAATGAGATTATGTGCACACGCATACATACACACATCCTATATATATATATATATATATATATATATATATGTATATATATATATATATATATATATATATATATATATATGTATTTATTTATTCATACAGTATTGTATGAATTCCTCCGAATTGTTGGCAATTGTTTACATCAATTTAAAGTGTGTCCTTTCAATTTTCTTTACTAGAATTTTCTGGAAATAGTTAAATTTGTTTAAAATAGAATTATCCAAGTTCATCAAGGAAATTTAATATAACTGTTGTTATCCAAATTCATGATTAAATTATATATAAAATTTTTTAAACTAAATTTAAAGACATACTCTAAATTGATTAACCCTCTAATGCATGACTTCTCACATTTTTTTCAAATTTTCTCAAAACTTTTTTTATTGAGAAAAACAATGAACAAAAATTGATTTTTAATAAAATTTATTCAAACAAAAAATATTCAACATTGAAATTTTGTTCTTAAGAAAGGACACTATGCACTACATGGTACATGGTTTTTCATAGGTGAGCATCACTTTGTATGGAATAATTCGAAGTATTTATCATGTAGAGTAACACAATATTTATTGCATTATTTTTGTCCTTTCCTCCCACATTGTGCACATCGTCTTTGGCCACCGTCAATGCTTCCTATGAAGTGGTTTTGCCCATCGTATCGCAAAACACGGATTTTTAATAAGCTGGAAATGGAATTTGATGCTCGATATTTCATGATGTATGTCATGGCTACTTCACGACGAAATGTCAACTGTAGGTGCTTGCAGGCTTCAGAAGACCTGTAGAGCATTTTGCAGACTGGCCTCAATCGTAAAAAAAAAAGCGCCCACCACCATTCTTTTATCTTAACATTAATACGAGTTTTGGCTATATTTTGATCCATTCTATCAGTTCCGCCCATGAAATGATTGTACTGCAATATTACATTAGGCATATTTATCTTAACCTGCTTTTTCTCTGCTGCAGACAAACGTTTAGCTTGAATTATGGGATTGACGCCAAAGCATTTGGAAATCATTGTGACTACACTATTGTCAATCCATCGACCTGCAAGCATTCCAGATTTCTTGTCCATCAAATAATCAAAAGTTTTTCATGGGTTTTTTTTCAATTTATCAATATCATTCAATGGACATTTTCCCATTCCATTTGTTCTTACAGTTCCTGTTACCAATACATTTGACAGTTTCAAATGATCAAGTAAACGTGGTGAGGTAAAAAAGTTGTCAAGTTTATAAGGTAGTCCATCTGGTAACATTTTAACCAGTTGAAAGACAACAGAACCACCAAGTCCCAAATTTTTAATGTAGTAAAAAATCAGTTCCTGGTACGGCTCATATTAGACTAAATATCCCAATTGGCTATTGCAGCACCATATTTTAAAGCCAAAACGAATCGGTTTACTACGAATAAACTGTTTTGAATTATTGCGAAATATAAATATCAGCACTTTGAAAATCATTATCTTCTTCCATCATGCTAACTACTTCAGCCACAGAATACCTTCAATCAAAATCAGAAAAATATGTAATATCTAACAATGAAGAAATAGAAATAGTTTATATACACTAATTGGTTATTATTGCACATTGTAACTGGCCAAAGTTTGGTGATATTTAGGCATGAAATACGTGATATCACGCATATAATCAAAAGAAAAATATATTTGTTTAAAATTTGTGATAAATAAGATTAGGTGAAGTTTTAAATACATTCATTACATTGCACAAACCATGTGAGCTTCAGTGGATGACGTCCTTTTAAAAGGAAATGGTAAAAATGGTATCAGCAGTTTTCAATATGAATTTTTGATGCAATTAAAAAATATCAATTACAAATGAATTAAATTAGTGAAATAACTGCGGTAAAAATATTTTCAAAAAATTTATAAATTTTGAGAAATCTACCTTTAAATCTGAGACATTTCAAAAAACAAAAATTTTACAATTGCGCGAAAAGAAGTAAAAATTTTCCAAACAAAATGGTTGAAAATGAGCGGTAATGTGGTCTTTTCCATTAACAATTTAACCGAGGAGTGTTCAGGTTTAATATTTTACAAATTAAATTGAGGAGTGCCAGAGTAATTCAATTTAATATAAGGTGTCCGTAAAAAAGGACGCTATGCATTAAAGAGTTCATGCCAACAATTCGGTAGAACATATAAAATACTGTTCGAAATATTGTCTCCTTCGAACATTATATATATTATAAAATATATAATGTATATATATATATATATATATATATATATATATATATGTCAGGGTTCAGTGTAGCGCTATACGATTTAAATGGATAACCAGTAAACAAGTAATTAATATCTCGTGGCCGTGGTGATTTCAAGTTAAAAAACGTTTAAAAAAAAGTTGGTTAAAATATTGAACTGTTCTTCAAGGACAAATAATTATTAATAACTCAGTTTGCGTGAGTTATTAATAACTTGTCGTAATTTCTGAACATGGGAGTGATAGCGGCCAAACGTCTATAAAAGCGCTGGGAAGGTCCCGTCAACAGGCTCAGAATTTCAGTTCAGGAATTGTTGTCGTCGCGAGAGTTATCGTGGAGTCTCGGAAGTAAAACTGGTGGATTCGTGAACCGACGATTTGTGAAATATAGATATATATATATTTAATTATTTAAAGATATTTACTTATAACGTTGTTTAATTAATTTAATTAGAGATATTGACTCTTAACGTCAGTTGTAATTATTATTACTTGCTTGGCATTATAAACAGTGTTTCACTTTGTAATAGAGAGATTGTTACAACATACTTGTTCTTGTTACGAGGTTGAAATAATAATAAGAAAAGTTAAAGAACGAACCCTTACATTCGGTACCAGAAGTGGGGTACACACACAAAAAAAAAGAATATTGAGTGTGTACGTGAAGACTTCAACGACAAAACAAGTTGGTAAAATTGTAACAATATGGAACGGCAGACAATGTCGAAGATGGCGGGGGCGACGACAGACGGTGAAGGTGTCGCTGAATCATATGACATCAAAAGGTTAGAAGCGGAGACAAAACTGGAGGAAATGCGTAGAACTGATGAGAGACTGAGGGAAGCGAGTCTTCGAGATCATGAATTTCGGTTGAAGGAACTTGAACTGCGTGCTCAACAAACACGGGAAACCCCTTCTAACACTGCACTTCGAGCCATAGAATGGAGTAACTTTTTCGCCAAATCGTTGAAACATTTGTTGGGGCCATGTCCAACCGACATCAGAGATGTACCAGCATATTTTGTCCGAATAGAAAAGATTTTCAATAACCATGATGTGGATTGGGACATTAGGGCGAATTTATTAATGATGAATTTAAATGATGGAATGAAGTCCTGGCTTGATAACCTCAGTGGAGAAGACATGCGAGATTATGCGAAGGTAAAACAACATTTACTTCGAGAATATCGTATTAACCCCGTTCGTTTGCGAGATGAATTTTTCACAATGCGAAGACAGAAGGAGGAGTCGTTTGTTATGTTCGCTCATCGACTGCACAACACGCTTCAGTTTTACTTCCAAAGTCGTGAAGTTGATTCATTTCAAAGTGTGGTAAATTTGATTTGCGCCGACCGCCTGAAGGAACTTCTTACGAAAAACGTGTTAGAATTCGTGTTAAGAAATGGACGACTGGATGGGTTATAAGGTTTTAGCAAAAACAGTCGACCGACACGAAATGAATATGAATATGAAGATGTCCAGCCAACCGACGGCATCAACGCGACCACCTCCCGTTGTTTATAAAAACGTGTCCAATGATGTCAGAAGAGAGGACCGGTGCTACAGAAATAAAATGTCAGGGCATATCGCAAGGTTTTGTAACCGAAAACCAACATCAACCGCGACGCCAAAACGTATTCTCAAATGCAAGGTTACTTCAAAACCGAAATGGCTACACGTCATAACGAATGAGAGTCAACAAGGGAAAGTGCCAAGGGTCATACAGGCGGACAAGTTTTATGAAAGGGCGTACGTTGATGTGATGCTGAACGACACACTAAATCGGAAGGCTCTGATTGATAGCGGAGCGGAGGTTTGTTGCATTAGTGAAGATTTGTCTGAAAGTTTGAACCTGCCATTGGGAGGTAAGTTAATGGTAAGAGGTTTGGAACCGGAGGGTAAGGAGGTAGATGGTATATCGATAAATCTGAAACCGATACCAAGTGACGAAAGGTGTAGGGTTATGGCTCCTGCGGTGAAGGTGTGGTGTGCAGTGATACCAAGTTTGGTAGAAGGTTTATTGATAACTCCAGGGGTGGTAGAGTTATTAAACGAAGTCAAGCACTACGAGGTTCCCAGTCCTGTGAACGATGATGATGAGCAGAGGGTGGGGGAGGCAATGTCTGACTGTGATGTGGAAGAGTGGTCTAATCAGGATGGGGATGAGATAACTGATGAGGTTGGTAGAGGAGAAGGGTTGACAGGTACCGACAATGGGATAGATGAAGAAGGTCATGACGAGGCGATAAATGTTGACGCGAATGAGGTAATGGTAAGGAAAGATGACGATGCATCAGATGAGGTAGAGGTGCCAGATGATCCGAGTCGTCGTAGTCGATGTGACACTGTTGAGGAGTCGGGGGATATAGAGGGATCAGCGGAGGTTGCGGGAGAGGTCTTTAATGATGGGATAAACGGTGTGGCTGACAAATTAACGATGATTAAAGAACAAACGAATTGAAAAGGTGGTGGGGTTTTGCTAAGGTGGGTAGGAAGAATTTTTTTATTGAAGATGGAGTCTTATATCACAAGGAAGTAATACTCGGGCACAAAGTCAAACAATGTCTACCAGTGTCGCGAATCAACACCGTGTTAGAGTTGAGGCACGATGCACCATTCGCAGGTCATATGGCATTCAAATCTACCAGATACCGGATCGCGCTCAGTTTCTGGTTCCCTGAGATGACTGAAAGAATTCGACAGTATCGTAAATCATGTACAATTTGTCAACTCAGAGCTCCAGTCAAGGTTGCCGACAGAGTACCAATTACTCCGATATCGCGGAATGATGAATTGCCATTTACACATTTGGTGATGGACTGTATCGGACCGATGATTACCGACGGTGGTGGTACCAAGCCTGAATATAACTATGCACTGGTGGTGGTACCAAGCCTGAATATAACTATGCACTGGTGGTGGTAGATTTATTCACGAGGTGGCCCATGGCCTACCCCTTGAAATCGATCAGCGCCAAAGCGACTTGTAAAGTTTTACTTCAGATTTTCATGACGTACTCCATACCAAAAGTTATTAGCTCCGACTGCGGCACCAAGTTTACGAGTCAGATTACACAAGTGATGTTGAAGAAACTGGGGTGTAGCCCGCGATTCAACACGCCAGGATATCCTGAAGCATCCGGGGTTGTGGAACGTTGCAACCAATCGTTGAAGGCGATGATATACAAATTGGCCCAGGAACATCATTGAAGCTGGCACCGAGTACTGCCATTCGTTTTATGGAGTTTGAGGGAACGACCGTCTTCTACGACTCACGTCAGCCTATATACGATGTTGTATGGAACGTTACCGAGAGGTCCGCTGTCAATACTCAAGGAATCATGGGTAGGGGAAAACGAACTACCGTTGAATATTGGAAAAAGGCCAGATGAGTATTTGAAAACCCTTCGCCATCACCTAGAATTAGCTAAATCATATGATGAGTATCATACTGAGAAGGAACAACAACAGTACGCCCATCAGTACAACTTAAGAAGTAGTGATTGGCACTTACAGGTTGGAGACATGGTGGTGATGTTGATACCGACGCCATTACGAAACAAATGGTGTAATCAGTGGCAGGGTCTCGGAGTAATCTCCAAGGTGAAATCGCCATATTCATACGTGGTGGAAATGGAAGGGCGAAAACATCACGTGCACGCAAACAAGTTGCGTAAGTTCAACCAACGAATCGAGGAGGCGGTGGTAAATAGTTGTGCTATTTTACGAGGTAAGGAGACCGAGTTTGGGATGTTGAAGACTTACAAATCAGGTGCGGGTACTATAGGAGCTGGGGGTTGTTGGAAAGTTGTGGGTTTGAAACATTTGTCAATAGAGAAGAGGCGCGATGTATTAACCTTGATGAAAGAACATTCACAGATATTTTCGCCAAAGGTGGGCATTTACAACCACATACAACACCGAATCCGGGTTGATCAGGAGTTTAAACCCAAACGGTTGCGAGCATACAAGGTTCCGGAATTACTACGGGAGGAGGTTAGACGGCAGCTGGAAGATATGTTAGAACAGGACATCATCATCCCATCCAAAAGTGAAATGGCTAGTCCGGTTGTTTGTATCATCAAGAAAAACGGGGGTGTACGCTTGGCAATCGACTACAGGTATGTCAACAAACATTCAACAGGTGATGGATTTCCAACTCCTGATGTGCGAGATGTGTTACAGAGGTTGGGAGAGCGAATTATATCAGCAACTTTGATGCTAGGAGTAGGTATTGGCAAATACCAATGGAGAGGAGTCACGCTGGCTGACTGCCTTTGTTTGTGATGAAGGACTTTATGAGTTCAAACGCATGCCGTTCGGTTTTAAGTCAGCTAGCATCACTTTCACTCGAGCTATGAGAGAACTCACTCAAGGTATGCAGGAATTTACCGAGGCCTACATTGATGACATCGCAGTGTTCTCAACAACGTGGCAGGAACATTTACAACACCTGCGAGCATTTTTCAACATTGTCGCACGATCTGGGTTAACATTTAACCTTGAAAAATGCCGAATCGCTGAAGCAAAACTACATTTTTTAGGTCATGTCATAGGTTCGGGGACCATTGGAGTAGATCCGACTAAATTGCAGGTGCTTGATAACATCCGACCGCCTACAACAAAAAGAGAGGTACGAAGGATCATTGGGTTCTTCAATTATTTTCAGTGTTTCATACCAAATTTAGCAAGGACGTTAGACATCATTACTGAATTGACGAAGAATAAGGTGTCAAATCGTGTTCAGTGGACAAACGCGCATCAAGATAGTCTTGATAAGATCATTCAACAACTGAAAAACGTAACAACATTGAATACCATTGATTATGCTCGAGATTTCGGGCTAATCACCGATGCCAGTGATCATGCTGTAGGATGTTGTCTTGTACAACAGGATGATAATGGTTGCGAGAAACCTATAGCGTTCGCCAGTCGTAAATTGACAGATACTCAACGTCGGTGGGCAACAATCGAGAGGGAGGTGTATGCCATTATATGGGCTCTACAAAAGTATCGGCCATGGATTTGTATGTCGACGATACACGTGTACACCGACCACAACCCATTGACATATTTAACCGAATCCACACCTAAAAGCTCTCGCATTACAAGAATATGATCTACGCTTCACCTATAGGGCAGGTAACCGAAACGTTACTGACTTCCTGTCCAGGTTGCGAGAGGATGGAGGTACAAGGTAATGAATATTCCTCCCCTAGGAATATTCATCATGTTGGGTGTGAGGTATGTCAGGGTTCAGTGTAGCGCTATACGATTTAAATGGATAACCAGTAAACAAGTAATTAATATCTCGTGGCCGTGGTGATTTCAAGTTAAAAAACGTTTAAAAAAAAGTTGGTCAAAATATTGAACTGTTCTTCAAGGACAAATAATTTTTAATAACTCAGTTTGCGTGAGTTATTAATAACTTGTCGCAATTTCTGAACATGGGAGTGATAGCGGCCAAACGTCTATAAAAGCGCTGGGAAGGTCCCGTCAACAGGCTCAGAATTTCAGTTCAGGAATTGTTGTCGTCGCGAGAGTTATCGGGAGTCTCGGAAG